ATAATTTCAGATATGTTTATTTTGTAAATTTTTTTGACAAAAACCAAATAGAAAACAAAAAGCATAGCCAAGATCTAATAGACGGAAATCATCACAATCCATTTTCCCAACAATCCCACCCCCCACCCCCCATCCCCCCCCCCAAAAAAAATAGTAATACATTTTTGAGAATATCTTTTTCACACTAAAAAAGACATCCAATTAAAAACTCCTTCATAATTCTTCTGCTAGGGTACCTGTACACCTTTCATACATTTATATATAAAAAAATGTCTAGCCTATTATGTCCCAGGCGGTAGGGTTATAGGAAACTTGGGGTCACAATAATGTTGTTATGACGGAAGTGATGGAGTAGAGCAAAATTGATTTTCAAACTACCGTTGCAGGTAAATGTATGGCTGTAGCACGGACCTCTACGTTTGGGAAACACTGATCTCGACCACCCCTTGGATTTTAATGATTCAGGTAAAACACTCTGGATCATTCTAAAAGCCCAGTAAAGCCAGGTATCTTAGTTTCCGAGAACTGTGATATTCTCTGTTGATAAAACACGATACCTAGAATCAGTCCTGTGGCTTTTCCTTTTCACGTCTCACCCATACATCTCGTGGTCGGCAGCAATTAATGACGGCACATACCATCTCAAAACTTATCAGCACGTGCGCTGAAAAACGATCCTTCCGTGCATGTTAAAAAAATTCTCTAAGTTTCGTTGTGAAATGGACCAGCGGTGAATGGATCGACCCTGTAATGAGCAACCCAAAACCTAGCACGCGCTAGCTGATACCATAACTACGTGCAGGTGAGGCATTTGACCGCCAGCTGATACAGCAAAACATTTCTGGATAAACAGCAATTAAAACGGTCTGGACAGATTTATTACGTTTTATTGGGGTCAATGTGAATTTTCCGGCTTTAAATACTATTTTTTCACGTCTTTAGCCTTAACATAAAATTTGAATGTTAAATATTTTATTGGTTAATCTGATTACTAATATTTCGTCTAAAAACTCGCAAATGTAACAAGTATAATCATTTTCGAAATTAAAGAAATATATTTTTTGTGAAAGCAAGTTGTATTCGTCTGCTTAACGACAGGACACAAAAAATTATATTTATTGACAAGCGAAGGAGAGTAGGCAGACGATCGTTCGCTGAAAGACCGAAAGGTCGTAATAATGGACGTAAAACCCGTTACAATAAATAAGAGGAGACAAAATACCCACTATATAGCTATCATGGATTATACCAACTTACATTGAAAAGGGGAAGTATGACATTGAACATCCTTGGTACAATGCGTAATGATACCAGGGACGTGTTACACATCCCTCACATTGTGTGTGATCATATATATCGTATATTTAAGGAAACCATTGCAAAGTTTAAACGACTTCTAACTTTGAAATGGCTTGAAGTTATTTCAGTTTAATTAATTATACTGTATAAAGCTGTCGGCTTGTTTTAGATTCAGGGCATATAGTGTTATTTCCACACCCAGAAAATTAATCTTCGATATGAAGAGAATAATTTTATTTCCACATGAAGTGTCCGCATGACTCGTACAAATAATTACATTCATCCGCGATTTTATTTTTTCTTGGTCACGTTAGTGACAATGATTGAACATTAATGTCGGAGAATTTAAACCCTTAAGACCTTGAGATACATGTTTGTTTATCTTCCTTAATTACAATGCCAAAAAATTCATTAAGATTCAATTTAAAGTTGTGTTAGTGTTGTTGGAGTTATCTCTCTTGGATTTTAAAAGGAGTAACCTCCCTTACCATGATTTTGGTATCTTCCATCAATGTTTTTTCTCAACATCACATCCCAAATGGACCATGGCGCCCCCATTATTTGCTCTTTATAAACTTTGAAAGTTTATCTTTTCCCTTCTTTTTTCTTCTACTCTCTGTTTTTGTTCTTAATGATAAGAAATTTGAACATCCCTTTGCAGAAATAGCAACGATAATCTTCACTTGCCAAATCCAAGATGGTCGTCTGAAAGCCATTTTTTATGGTCAGTCCCAAAATCAAACGGACACAAGAAGAGACCACATGGAACATATGTATGAAATTTGAGGGCGATTCATTCAGTAGTTCTTAAGAAATAATTGTATTATCTATAAATATTACATAAAAAATATTACAAGTCATTTTCAAGGAGTACAGTTGTGGCAACATCTTAATGGCAGTGATGAATTATGGTGTGTTAGTTTGAGATACTTGATAACATTTTGTCTCTATTAAGCAGATTTTGTCAAAAAAGAATGCTGACACTAAAACATTCTGATACTAATCGATGCTAACACTAAAAGATTCCGACACTAAAGAATGCTGACACGAACCCATTCTGTCACGAAATGATGCTGACACCAACACATTCTGATACTAATGGTTGCTGACATTACTACCGATGAAGGGAAGGTGTGAACGACACACTTACTATAGTATTGAACAAAGTATTGATACTATTGTATTGAAGTATTCAAATAATCGAGTCAATTATACAACGACCTCTGTGATTGGTCGGGGGCGGAGTTTAGACAACCTGAATAGTTGATCTGACACCCAATTTGTTCCGGTAGGCGGAGTTATTGTACACTATCAGTTGCATAACAATTACTAAGTAATCGCTGGAAAAATGTCCGACGACGGCAACAGTACGCAAAATTTTCTTCGACGAAATTATGTCCGATACGAACGATATGGGGAATCCTGTTTTTGTACAAGGCGATGTGGTTGTGATGGATAATTGTGGATTCCATTACCATAGACAGGGAGAGCGCATTTTAAGAAATATGCTGAAAGAATATGGCGTGTCCCTGGTTTTTCAGCCGCCTTATTCCCCGGAATACAACGTAACGGAATATGTATTCAATGTCATGAGACAGAGGCTTCGGGCAAATACCCGACTTGTGTCAGAATTTCTGGAACTTGCAGTAGTAAAACCAACCAAGTTTGTTCACATGTTGCGGATATGTATAATTTTCGATGGAAAGATAAAAAATAAAATAAGAAATATATGGGACCACAGAATTCCTTTATTTTTTAATGCAGTATGAATTATCGGCATATATCAGGAGGTCCCAGGTAATTCGTAATTCTTTGTTACATATAATAGAGCTTGGGCTTAAACCGAAATATTTTGAGCCAACCTCCCCCCCCCCACCTTTCAAAAAAAAAAATAAATAAATAAAACTAGTACAGAATGACTATATGACTATATTCACTGTTAAGATGTTATGAATTCTCCGGTCCCAGTGATCTAACCGGTTGATATATATTTTGTACGTAAATTAGTTTAGTACTGAGTAACTTTCGTTTTCTCGTTGTACCATCGATGGAAAAGCAAGGTATCATTGGGTGTAGAACGAAAAAAATGGGACAACCCAATTAGGTCTGATCTGAAGCCACCTGTGACTTGGACTCTTCCAATTAACCTCTCGCGACAGTCGAGTGTTTGTAAAATGCCGATGTCTGCACAGTATTTTTTCACCTGGCTCCACCCACAATCGATCTAGACTTGGCTCTGCCAATCAGAGAGCTTGTTACATAAATTTAAGGAATTCGATTGGTGAAGTACTTCAGTACAATACTATCAATACTTCTTCAGTACTACAGTACTTGAAACGTTCACACCTTCCCTTCATCGGTAGTAACACATTCTGTCACTAAATGATGCTAAAACTAACATATTTTGACACTAATACATTCTGCCACTAAATGATGCTAACACTAAAGGATGGTAATATCCTGACACTAAAGGAAACTGGCACTAACATATTCTGACATTTAGAAAACTGGCACTAACATATTCTGACATTTAGAAAACTGGCACTAACATATTCTAACATTAAGGAAACTGGCACTAACATATTCTGACATTAAGGAAACTGGCACTAACATATTCTGACATTAAGGAAACTGGCACTAACATATTCTGACATTAAGGAAACTGGCACTAACATATTCTGACATTAAGGAAACTGGCACTAACATATTCTGACACTAAAGGAAACTGGCACTAACATATTCTGACATTAAGGAAACTGGCACTAACATATTCTGACATTTAGAAAACTGGCACTAACATATTCTGACATTAAGGAAACTGGCACTAACATATTCTGACATTAAGGAAACTGGTACTAACATATTCTGACACTAAAGGAAACTGGCACTAACATATTCTGACATTAAGGAAACTGGCACTAACATATTCTGACATTAAGGAAACTGGCACTAACATATTCTGACATTAAGGAAACTGGCACTAACATATTCTGACACTTAGAAAACTGGCACTAACATATTCTGACATTAAGGAAACTGGCACTAACATATTCTGACATTAAGGAATCTGGCACTTACATATTCTGACATTAAGGAAACTGGCACTAACATATTCTGACATTAAGGAAACTGGCACTAACATATTCTGACATCAAGGAATCTGGCACTTACATATTCTGACATTAAGGAATCTGGCACTTACATATTCTGACATTAAGAAAACTGGCACTTACATATTCTGACATTAAGGAAACTGGCACTAACATATTCTGACACTAAAGGAAACTGGTACTATTAGATTCTGACATTAATTAATGCTCTAAGTGCCTGACATTACTGTGTAACAATGGAGATATTGTTAAGTAAATCTGTACGCAAGACTTTCAAGGCTCCAAAGCCAAATTGCTATTTTACATTTTTTATACAGTCAATAAAATAAAGGATTACCTGTGTATAATTCATTTGTAAACTGATGTTAAATTTTTCACTGATGTTCTTAAATTGCCTTCTGTTGTCTCTTTTATCAACAAGTTTTTATCAATGTAACGGTTACCATATTGTAAGAATGGGTGAGGCTTATATTCTGGTGTGTATCAAATTGAAAACATCCCTGAAAACCAGTCCTGCAGCTTATACTCGGGTGCAGTTTATAGCCCAAAAGTAAGGTACCATTATATGTATAATATAACAAGAGACTGTCAGAGGTTATAACTATTGTTTAATATAAACACATATGTTATTGTAACATGTTAAAGCCAACAACAAAATAATCATAACTTATACAAAATTAGAAACATTTCTATTCCAGAACACAGTGTAGTCATCTTGAATAATAAAATTTCTGCTAATATTTAATGCTTACACCACAGGTAAAAAGCTTGATCTATGAAAGTTGTCTGTATATAATGTTCCTCATAGCAGTATTGCACAAAAGTTTTTCCATCCACCTTTACAAATTATAAATACATTTTACTTTATTATTGTAAAGAGTCACTAACATGAACACATCATATATAACATCAATAAATGGTATCTCACTACCACAATAAACAATTGACCAAAAACCTTAAAAAGGTGTGAAATATGCCTGCACTACTTTCACAAGTAGCATTGTAACTATGCCCATTTTTATGACCAATAACACATGCTTTTTGTAAAGACAAAATAAAGTATCAAGATTATTTTCAAAATATCTTTTACCTAAAGAATGGTAAGAAATTAATCATTTTCTTGTTATCATTGTTTGTTGCAGAAAAAAATGTTAATATCGCTTTTATTCTCGGCTACAGTTTGAAAGTTTTTTTAGTTTAGTTTATAAATTTTAATTCATGTAAAATAATTAATTTTCGTGGTGATTTTATTTTTTTTAACCTGTGGATACTGTTCATCCATGAATTTAAATGTCCATTAAAGGATAAGCATGATTAAACCTAGCAGGGATTAAATAACTAGTGAAGGTTGTGAGCAAGACCTATCCACATAATCAAGAGCCAATGAAAATGCAAATTTCATAAAACCACAAAATTTGAGCAAAAGAAAATAAATGTTTTTATAGTAGATAACATGACATTTAGTAAAATATCACCACCAATATAAACTAGCCAATAGTGATTGCACTGCCCATAAACATCCACAATCTTCAGACTAACACGTTTGTATCAAATTAGTGACAACAAGGAGATCTGATGAGGGAACCAAGGGTGATTTGTAATGGTCATTATTCTTCAGTCCTCATCATGACTAACCTGATATAGAAGGAATTGTAGGCAAGTCAGAGCAACCACATATATGAATCCTAATTACACTATATACTTCGTGACATCTTTCATATTTCACCAGTGCCTAATTTTTTATACATAAATACATGGCAAGTATGATCAACTTGCAAAATATGAGAAACAGTTACATTTTCTATTTTCAACTCCATGGTCTTCAATGATAAAAGTATGACATGGCTAAAACTACCTGGTCATATAGTAAATGTGATTTTTTTCATTTACATTTGATGTCAGATTATTGCTAAGATTCATATAGTACTTTACTTCATCATTTCTACTCTCCTCTGTAGCATGAGTAAAATCTCTCATCATGATCCGAATCAATCAAATGTTTTATGGCATCTAAATACATGTGCTACAATGTACAAATTACAACCATGTTTTACTGTGAGAAGAAATACAAACTTTTTACTTTGTTCTAAAAACATTTTCATAATTATTTCATGGTGACTACGGACAGTCCACATATGTCTCCTTTCCATGTCTTTAAAGATGTAAAAGAATCTTGTACAAGGAAAATGCCTTGTCTTTATCAAATGTTTGTTGTACTTACAGGTAAAAGTACAATGTGATTAGTTCTGTATTGGGTGTGGAACCACCTGACTCATGCTACTCTCTGGTTCCTTTTTCTTATGTAGCATGATGCGAACACAACCGTAAGAGTACATGGGGATGGGGGTATTCCCGCATATCTCCCAAGTGTTCTTTACAGGGTCAAAACACTCAATGATGTCCGTGTACAAGTTGTCCTTTGCCCCACGTCTTCTCCCTCCAAATGCATACAACTTCTCATCCAGAACAGCTAAACTCACAAAGTCTCTTGCACAGCTCAGATCAGGCAACACATCCCAGGTGTCCGAATCTGGTGTATATCTAAAGCAGCCCTCCAGTCCCACCACATAAATCTGTCCATCTAAGGTGGCCCCATTTAGGCACATGTCACAAGCTGGCAGTGTGCGGGTCAGTAAAGTTGTCGTGTTTGAGATGGTATCAAAACACTGAACAACATCTGTCACAATCTCATCGCTGTTTTTGCCTCCAAACAGGTAGATTTTCTTATTGTATGACACATAACCCATATTCTCTACTGGGTGGACAAGGCTACCAATTTCAGACCAGGAGTTATTCAGACTTTTCCACATTTCTATGGAACCAAGCACGTTGTACTCATCAAATCCACCGAGCACATAAATGCAGTCATCAACCACAGTCATAGCATGTCGGCGCCTAGCATGCATCATATTGGAACCACGGATCCATGTCTCAAACACACTGTCATATTTCCAAAACTCCTGACTTCGCAAGCCACCAGATACATATATATTATCAGCAAATGCACATACTGCAAATTCATTCCTCTTCTTGAAGGGCAGTTGTTTCAGTGTAGTGAAATGTTTGGTATCTGCATGATAGCTTTCTACTTCATTGCTCAGACCATCAGACAGGCGACCACCCAGAAGTACAGCCGTCTCATACAAGGGGGATGAAATGCGGGGAGTGATCTGGTAGGAAGGAAGCATACTTCGTCTGGAATGGATATTGTGGTATGTTATGGCTTGATTATACAGCTCCATCCCTCGCTCATCCTGTGTCACATGTGCTGACTTACTAACCACGTCAATGAGAAAAAGTTGACTGAGTAACGGAAATTTGATACATTCCAATATTTTAAAGCGGAATGATTTTCTATTGTCATTGTCTTGTTCATAATCCAGCCATTTTATTGAACTTTCAAATACTTCATCCTCAGATGTACACTCAAGTCGCCTGTCACTAAGCAGGTCCACAACACATTCTATTGACAACTTGGTGAAATCTTCATCTTGTCTGATACTCTTGAAATGGTGACAAGCATATTCCTTGGCGAACTGATAGAGTGGCTGGTGAGCGTGGCTATCACCCAAGGTCAAGGCTGCCAAACAGTTTGTCTCATTGATATTCTCTTTGAAAAACTTGAGACACAGATCAACAAGGGGTGTAACTTGGAACAAGTAAGCTTGGCGAAACAGTTCTTCCACAATGCCTACAGTAATCTGTACTCGCCCCGTATAGATAAAATGCAAAAGATTTTCAAATACATCAGCATCAATTTGTTTTAAATCTATTGTGTTTTTAAAGGATTCTTCCATGCCCGACGAGAACATGCACTTGAAGTAGGAAGATCCTGCTGCAAGAATGACACGATGACATGGGAATTCCTGTCCATCCACTCGGATGTTGATATCACTGTATCCACCCTCAGTCCGGAATGATTCAAAGTTACTAATGAGACTTCCCGAATGTTCATCACTGGCATAATTGATGGAAGTGTCAGATGCTGTTAAGCTGCTCATTGAATCAGATTTTTCCATTTTTCTGTCCAAAGGAAAGAAATAAGTTTATTAAATGATTGGACAAAATAAAATGTATTTATGCATCCATATCTAACTGTCCATCCGTATTTTATTGTTCTCAAAATTTATTACAATTTAAACAGTGCTGTAAATAAAACTGGCATTTCTTATCATTGTCTTCATGGAGTACATGTTACACAATGTGAAAGTGTACTTTCATCTAATTTTGTCCACACCAAATTTCAACAGCTAACAACAACCTAGTATCGTTATCGAATGATCGAATCGAAATAATGTTGTTTAGAATGATTACAACACGGGTGTTAGCCTCGTCTTTCAATACACTTATATATTGGTATATGATCATAAGCTGACCGACGAGGCTAGTACCTGTGATTGTAATGCACCTTTATATCAGGTTTCATGGTGATATTTGTAAAATTGGCGATTTACAAGTAATGAAGCGATTGGAATCTCCAAACAACAAGTAAGATGTGTGTTTGGTAATAAAACATCAACCGATCAATATGCAAAGTTTCAGGACGACGGTAAGACATGTACAGTACAGCTGTCAGTCCATGTCTTCCCAAAACAGAGTATCTTTCGGTCCAAATACACGACACACCTTCAAGATGGCAGACTATTCATGGATGCTGATAGCCGTAATAATTACCTTGATGGTTGATACAAGTACCAGTGATGTCAACCGTGTATTCGACGAGAAAAGGACATGCTGGTGTTCCTCGTTAGCGTGTCATGTTGATAGATGAACAGTTGAACCGGACATTATAAATTTCATCAGGGGAGGTCACTCTGGCGGAGAGCTAACTAATCGGCAAAGTCCGTCAATAGTCGGAACTGACAGATATTCACTGACAAAAATTGCATAAACCTCCACCAAATTGAAAATGAACAATTTCTGTTTTTTTTTAAGTGGTTGGTAAAACAGGAAATTATCTACGAAAATGAAAATTTTGGAAAGTTTTTTTTTTGCTTTCTTCTGGATCAAGAAATTACGGAAAAGTTCAAAGGGTTGCTAGTTCGAACCCCAACGAGGGCAATGTGTTTTTCGTTACTCTTTCGTGTTACAGTAAACCTCATTTCGTGCAAATATGACTGAAATGTTGAAAAATTCCATGATTTTGAACAACAAAAAATAGTGTATATTTTTGCTGTTGTGTCCGATTGGCAATATTTTTCAGGTGTGAATTAGGCATGTACTACCATAACATGCCCTTTTGACTACACATATGCAGCTATTTCCACGGGATACTATGGGTTACGTCCCCTTAGCGCTTATTGCCTCGTATTATTTTATTTATTTTAACGGGTTTTACGTCCACTATTACGACCTTTCGGTCTATTGACTCGTAGGCACGAGAACCCACATGTAGAATATGTTACATGGTACACATCGGACTGATTTTGAAATTAAATCAGTAATTGCATAAATATCCATGTTCAAAATCACAAATAAAAAATAATCACATCCAATGATTATTATAACAATCACAGTGTTACAATTCATATCAACGATATCTGTGGAATACAAACATCGCATTTTATTATATGAGTGCATAAAGTCTGTTATTTCGAAGGGTGTGCCAGTAAAACCCCAACTAAGAACCTTTGTAGTTTACCTGGACAGGTGTGAACTACAGCCATCTCTTTCATAGGCAAATTTCTCATCGTCCAACTCAATGTCCTATATCATGTTACACATTACGTCAGTCAATATACGATGAAATCATCTGACACTCCTGACTTTGCTTAAAACAAATGAAATTGCGAGAAGATATAGAATTTGATAATATATTTTAACAGAACAATTGATTATCACTGTAGCAATTAAAATTTGAAGATTAGCAACTGGAAACTATTGATCAAGGATTCGGATTGGACGGGATCAACAACATCTATATTTTAAAGTAACTCATTATACCAAGGAAAAGAAGAACAATGATTAGAAATTGATTAACCACAATATTTTAAAAAAGATATCTTGTCTCTACTGTGGCAATGCCTCCGAGTATCCAATACAAATACATGGTACAGTGCAAATCTCGAATTCTTTGAACTCGTAATTTTCATTTCTCACAAAGACTGATGACTTACATTTATAAATAGCAGTCAATAGTCAATTAATTTATGTAATCCATTTGCTTGGTTGTTGCAAATTCAATCCATGGTCTTAATTTTTAAGCAACAAGTCCGTGATTTTTTTTTTTTTTTTTTTTTGCAAGTCCAAAATAATGATATACAGTGTGCTAAATGCGATACTAGGACGCCAACATAATTAAATCTTCTTTTAAACAAGTCTTGGACGACTATGGCAGGTAAAACCAGAAACATATTTCTACTTTTCCTTGTTGTTTCAAATGCTAGAAAATGTATATTTGTATCTATTTTGATATCTGATTATTATGATTGTCTAGAAACGTTCGATAACGTATAAATTGATATTTTCTGTACGATGATTGTATTATGGAATATTTGAATAGAAATACTGTATCAATTATAGTAAATTAGCATTGCTGTCTGTATTTTTTTTGTAAGAAAAAAAAACACGTAATAAATCTTTTCAAACCAAACAGTATAGTAGAAACCTTAATTTTCGAATTCGTCTCGCTAAGTTTTGTGACAAATACTTTCTGTTTACTTAGATTCTTTTAAAAACAAAATGCGAGTTTGAGCTATTCACAACTGAAATATCACCCCATATTGCAAAAAGTCATTTGTAAATCTGTGGCGCGAAAAATGTAATTAATTTTCCGTAACAGAAAAGAAACAAGATTATATGATTGCCTTACAGTAATTTAGCTACTTTTCCAATGAAGAAACTCCCTTGTTGAGTAATTTAACATTACATAAGGTAAACATATCGTTCATTTTGTGTAAATTTTGGTATTCAAAGTAGTATTACGGAATGAATTTACATCGTAATTGACAAACACTTACATTTAAATAGATAATGAAATTAGTCACCTACTACAAAAAAGTTTTTTTAAATGGGAAAAAACAAACGAAAACAAAACAAAAACAAAAAACCTTTTTCTGTAGCGACCATGTATAATCTTGTGACTCGCAATGCCTTTGTGCCATTTCTACCTTAAGGGTGTGGTTGGCCAGCCTTTTCTTTATTGAATGCGAGTAATATGCATTTGTTTTATAGATTCTTGTTACCACAGGCGGAATCCCGGCTAATTGTTGCTTATTTTACAGAGTATGCTCGTTTTAGAATATGCAAATAGTGAATATCACAAAATGCATGAGCTTATATCCTTCATAATGTAAAGAACTTCACATTAACCATGTTTCTTTCCAGATTTCCTGTACATTTCTGTCATATTGGAATCTCACTGCATCGGCATCGAATGGGAAGTTTTACCAAGGGAGTCCTGCGCCCACGTTCAGATAAGATATGGCCGCGACGATAGGTACACAAGGCAAGCAATTGGCCCTTGTTTACGATGGGCAGAAATGGACTGTAAGGACCTAAGAACACATTAATGTTTATCTAATCTTGCGTGTGATATTAAAGATTGATCCATAGAAATAGCGACAACAATCGTCAGGTATCAAAAACAAGATGGATGCCTGGCGGTCATTTTGCTTTTCCGATCAGTCCCAAAATAGAACACACACAGCTGGGAATCATGGGGAACAAACAGATGAAATTTGGGGATTTGAGGATTTGAGAATTTGGGATAGTGTTGGCAAACTCCACAACTGTCGAAATCGAAAATGGCTGTCTTACGGCTATAGAAGTTTACATGTAAGATTGAAGAAAGATACGCTTAGGACTTGTCATGAAATCGCGATCACAGACTTGAACTTTTAAAAATCCAATATGGCTGCCTCTCGATACAATGTTCTTGCATACTGAGGGTCCAAAGTGGGTTTACATAGGAAATACGAGAAAGATTCACCTAGAAGTTCTCAAGAAGTAGCGATAACAATTTCAACTTCCAGTATATCCTATCGAACGTTTTCCCTATCAGTCTAAGCGCGATTATGCATAAACAGAGAGCGGTTGGATCTTCATATGGCATTTGAGAAAGATTCATCCAGTGCTTTTCTCCGGAGGAAACAGTGATAAACAGAATGGTTTAAGGACATTTGTGCGACTTGAGACATATCATGAAAGCTATATAAACTGCCCATCGTCATCAAATAGCGGGCTAAAAATGTACGAAACGTCACTATGATTTATTTACCCCAGACCTGTGTAGATATACATGTTTGAAACTACAATCAACACTATAACTAACCAGCATTCTTTCTCAAATTCTGTCGTGTTGAATTCGTCCGGAGGAGGTATCGAGATGGCGGTACTGAAGCAGACTGCACATTCCGACAACAATCCTTACAATCCCAATGAGTTAAGAACAGTAGTGTTCAACACTACCGACTGTAATGCGAAAGGTACAAGCGAGCTTCCTAATTCATGTGATATTAATCTGAAGTTGATGTTTGTCCTAATTGAACTTTTAAACGGGTAGGATGCAAGGAGTTTCCCTTTTTCTACTTGTTTTCTTGTTCCTATCGTCATATGTAACAGCTGCACCCTAACAGTGTTAAACATGTTGGTAAATTTTGCATCTGATTTATATATATCGGAATATTGATTCAAAATTAAAGATAGTTTTCAATGCCGGGGATATTTCAACGGAAGTCAAACATACTGGTAAACTGTATGCCCTCCATTGACACGTAATCTCATATGAACAAAAGTAATCGAAAAAATAATTATTTACAATGTTTTAAATTAGTACTACAGCACACGGCATACACAGATCTCGGTAAGCAGTCTTAAATCCCATCTTTATGGTCATCCTGCATTGTCCAATTTTAAACGAAACGCAATTGAAACGAATAACATATAACATTCAGTTTGAATATTTGCCATTGGTTATATGTTGATGTGATCAAAATTTGTGTTAAAGGTGTGTTTACAAATTTTCACATACAAAATACGGAATAAATGCATTGTAATTTAGCAACAGTGTATATAGCAGGACGTTGCTATACTCCGTGCAATCTTGATATGTCCCCTCCGGATCACATACGTAAAACTATTCTACTTTCTGCTTTCAAGCAGTCATATAGATGTCAATCTTCATGTCACATTCTCTTTATTTAAACTTTGATATATCAACATATACAATACCATCATACTGTGTGCAGTTTTAAAGAAACAAAAAGTCCCTAGTAGTTGGAATGTTTATCTTCGCCTAGAAATCATGTTAATGAGATTAAAAGATTGAAATTAACTAAACATATTGTATTTTGTTTTCTTTTATTATTATTTTTTTTTAATTTATTTTTTTTTTTTTTTTTATCAATTTGAAATAAGTTCCCTAGAGACCTAACCTTAGGCATTCTTGTCTCTACGGGGGGACACTTTGATCTTTGGCAATGTGGTACTTGGTTTAGGGCACCCTGTCTCTATGGGGGTACACTTTGATCTTTGGCAATGTGGTACTTGGTTTAGGGCACCCTGTCTCTATGGGGGTACACTTTGATCTTTGGCTATGTGATACATGGTTTAGGGCACCCTGTCTCTATGGGGGTACACTTTGATCTTTGGCTATGTGGTACTTGGTTTAGGGCACCCTGTCTCTATGGGGGTACACTTTGATCTTTGGCTATGTGGTACATGGTTTAGGGCACCCTGTCTCTATGGGGACACACTTTGATCTTTGGCAATGTGGTACTTGGTTTAAGGCATCCTGTCTCTATGGGGGTACACTTTGATCTTTGGCTATGTGGTACTTGGTTTAGGGCACCCTGTCTCTATGGGGACACACTTTGATCTTTGGCAATGTGGTACTTGGTAAATGGTATCTTGTCTCTATGGGGACACACTTTGATCTTTGGCTATGTGGTACTTGGTAAATGGTATCCTGTCTCTATGGGGGTACACATTGATCTTTGGCTATGTGGTACATGGTTTAGGGCACCCTGTCTCTATGGGGACACACTTTGATCTTTGGCAATGTGGTACTTGGTTTAAGGCATCCTGTCTCTATGGGGGTTCACTTTGATCTTTGGCTATGTGGTACTTGGTAAATGGTATCCTGTCTCTATGGGGGTACACATTGATCTTTGGCTATGTGGTACATGGTTTAGGGCACCCTGTCTCTATGGGGACACACTTTGATCTTTGGCAATGTGGTACTTGGTTTAAGGCATCCTGTCTCTATGGGGGTACACTTTGATCTTTGGCTATGTGGTACTTGGTTTAGGGCACCCTGTCTCTATGGGGACACACTTTGATCTTTGGCAATGTGGTACTTGGTAAATGGTATCATGTCTCTATGGGGACACACTTTGATCTTTGGCTATGTGGTACTTGGTAAATGGTATCCTGTCTCTATGGGGGTTCACTTTGATCTTTGGCTATGTGGTACTTGGTAAATGGTATCCTGTCTCTATGGGGACACACTTTGATCTTTGGCAATGTGGTACTTGGTAAATGGCACCCTGTCGCTATGGGGGTACACATTGATCTTTGGCTATGTGGTACATGGTTTAGGGCACCCTGTCTCTATGGGGGTACACTTTGATCTTTGGCAATGTGGTACTTGGTTAATGGTATCCTGTCTCTATGGGGGTTCACTTTGATCTTTGGCTATGTGGTACATGGTTTAGGGCACCCTGTCTCTATGGGGACACACTTTGATATTTGGCAATGTGGTACTTGGTTTAAGGCATCCTGTCTCTATGGGGGTACACTTTGATCTTTGGCTATGTGGTACTTGGTTTAGGGCACCCTGTCTCTATGGGGACACACTTTGATCTTTGGCAATGTGGTACTTGGTAAATGGTATCTTGTCTCTATGGGGACACACTTTGATCTTTGGCTATGTGGTACTTGGTAAATGGTATCCTGTCTCTATGGGGGTACACATTGATCTTTGGCTATGTGGTACATGGTTTAGGGCACCCTGTCTCTATGGGGACACACTTTGATCTTTGGCAATGTGGTACTTGGTTTAAGGCATCCTGTCTCTATGGGGGTTCACTTTGATCTTTGGCTATGTGGTACTTGGTAAATGGTATCCTGTCTCTATGGGGGTACACATTGATCTTTGGCTATGTGGTACATGGTTTAGGGCACCCTGTCTCTATGGGGACACACTTTGATCTTTGGCAATGTGGTACTTGGTTTAAGGCATCCTGTCTCTATGGGGGTACACTTTGATCTTTGGCTATGTGGTACTTGGTTTAGGGCACCCTGTCTCTATGGGGACACACTTTGATCTTTGGCAATGTGGTACTTGGTAAATGGTATCATGTCTCTATGGGGACACACTTTGATCTTTGGCTATGTGGTACTTGGTAAATGGTATCCTGTCTCTATGGGGGTTCACTTTGATCTTTGGCTATGTGGTACTTGGTAAATGGTATCCTGTCTCTATGGGGACACACTTTGATCTTTGGCAATGTGGTACTTGGTAAATGGCACCCTGTCGCTATGGGGGTACACATTGATCTTTGGCTATGTGGTACATGGTTTAGGGCACCCTGTCTCTATGGGGGTACACTTTGATCTTTGGCAATGTGGTACTTGGTTAATGGTATCCTGTCTCTATGGGGGTTCACTTTGATCTTTGGCTATGTGGTACATGGTTTAGGGCACCCTGTCTCTATGGGGACACACTTTGATATTTGGCAATGTGGTACTTGGTTTAAGGCATCCTGTCTCTATGGGGGTACACTTTGATCTTTGGCTATGTGGTACTTGGTTTAGGGCACCCTGTCTCTATGGGGACACACTTTGATCTTTGGCAATGTGGTACTTGGTAAATGGTATCTTGTCTCTATGGGGACACACTTTGATCTTTGGCTATGTGGTACTTGGTAAATGGTATCCTGTCTCTATGGGGGTTCACTTTGATCTTTGGCAATGTGGTACTTGGTTTAGGGCATCCTGTCTCTATGGGGACACACTTTGATCTTTGGCAATGTGGTACTTGGTTTAGGGCACCCTGTCTCTATGGGGACACACTTTGATCTTTGGCAATGTGGTACTTGGTAAATGGCACCCTGTCACTATGGGGACACACTTTGATCTTTGGCAATGTGGTACTAGGTTTAGGACACCCTGTCTCTATGGGGACACACTTTGATCTTTGGCTATGTGGTACTAGGTTTAGGACACCCTGTCTCTATGGGGGTACACTTTGATCTTTGGCAATGTGGTACTTGGTTTAGGACACCCTGTCTCTATGGGGGTACACTTTGATCTTTGGCAATGTGGTACTTGGTTTAGGGCACCCTGTCTCTATGGGGTTACACTTTGATCTTTGGCAATGTGGTACTTGGTTAATGGTATCCTGTCTCTATGGGGGTTCACTTTGATCTTTGGCAATGTGGTACTTGGTTTAGGGCACCCTGTCTCTATGGGGGTACACTTTGATCTTTGGCAATGTGGTACTTGGTTAATGGTGTCCTGTCTCTATGGGGGTTCACTTTGATCTTTGGCAATGTGGTACTTGGTTTAGGACACCCTGTCTCTATGGGGGTACACTTTGATATTTGGCTATGTGGTACATGGTTTAGGGCACCCTGTCTCTATGGGGGCACACTTTGATCTTTGGCTATGTGGTACTAGGTTTAGGGCACCCTGTCTCTATGGGGACACACTTTGATCTTTGGCTATGTGGTACTCGGTTTAGGGCACCCTGTCTCTATGGGGACACACTTTGATCTTTAGCAATGTGGTACTTGGTTTAGGGCATCCTGTCTCTATGGGGCAACATTTTGATCTTTGGCAATGTGGTACTTGGTTTAGGACACTCTGTCTCTATGGGGACACACTTTGATCTTTGGCAATGTGGTACTTGGTAAATGGCACCCTGTCTCTATTGGGACACACTTTGATCTTTGGCAATGTGGTACTTGGTAAATGGCACCCTGTCACTATGGGGACACACTTTGATCTTTGGCTATGTGGTACTAGGTTTAGGACACCCTGTCTCTATGGGGACACACTTTGATCTTTGGCAATGTGGTACTTGGTTTAAGGCACCATGTCTCTATGGGGACACATCAGTATCAGTAGACAAACAACAAACCATGGCCAACATCATGAAATGATCTCACTTGATCCTTCAGGTAAGTGATATAAAATGTGGATGCCAAGCAAATCATTGATTACATGTAACAGAACAGGAAAAATACACATTCCTGTAGGTTGCCTGGCCAGGAATTGAACTTGGGTTTCCGTCCAGCATGATAATCGAAAGAAGCATGCTCCATCAGCTGAGTGACAGAGACTTCACTTAACACTATATATAACCCACAATGACCTATCAGCTGAGTGTTAGAGACTGTATTTAACATTATATACAAGCCACATTGACCCATCAGCTGAGTGACAGAGAATGTAATTAACATTATATACAAGCCACATTGACCTATCACCTGAGTGACAGAAACTGTATTTAACATGATATATACAAGCCACACCTACTCACTCCTATTGCAGACATATCCTCATAGCTTACACTGGCCTTCTACCTAGAGTTGTCCTTCCTTGATCTAACTATTGGTGTGTGGACAAATTACCAATAGTTAAGATGTTTACGATCATTTTTAGTAATTGTAAGAGTTATCAGTGAGTGAAATGATAACAAATAGCACAAGAACAGTTTATTTTCTTATTTGTCATTGAATCTAAATAGTTTCATGGGTATAAGGCTTGGAAAATAAGAACAATTATCTCGACTCCAACTATCCATCTGGGTCACTTTGCTGTATCATTTCTGTCCCAGGATGATCTTGAGAAACTTCAGCTGTGTCTATATGTGGTCTGAATGTCTCCACACTTGAAACGTCCATTTGTGACTCGTTACCTCCATCCAGTACGTCAACCTGTGACTCTGCACTTCCACTACATATGTCTATTTGTGACTCAGTACCTCTACTAAGTGTGTCCACTTGTGACTCAGTACCTCCACTAGGGGTATACACTTGTGACTCAGAACTGGGCTCCTTTCGTTGTATTGTCACAGTAGAATCGGTATCTACTGACATAGCTGTTTGATCTAATGTTTGGGGGTTAATGTTCGGATTTACAATCTGGACATCCTCATCTCCTTTATCAGTAGTGTTGTCTTCACCAGAATCTGTGAAAAAAATCCCAAATTACAGCATACTTAACCAATGAATTGATTAATTCATAGGAAATTCTATTTTGTTTGGTTCCTTGGTAAATATACATTATGTTAAAACAGCTTGATATTTTTTCTTTATGCCCTGTATTAAATACAAAGTTAACCTCTAAATGATTTCATGAATTAATCAATACAACAACACCAGAAATAGCCAAAATAAGCAATCTGAAACAATATTTATCATTTTCAAAAGAACTGCTGTATATATCATCACAAGAAGCCTATCTATGACATTCTTTAGCATCAAGAAAGGACAATGACACAATGAAGTGAACTTTCTCTCCCTTTGATATGTAATAGTACCTGTCACCATACAAATTTACTAATATGTTCCATCAGATCCATAATATCTGCACAGAGTGACATTATGTATCATTAATAGGAATCATTATTAACAAATACATTTGCTATTGTCTTCAGTTATAATTCTGTAGTCTGAAGCTAAATTTTGGACACACCAGACTACATTTACACAAGATTTCTATATATTAAGTACACAGATACTGACCTACATTAACCTCATCTCGCTGTGCTCTGGAAACAAATACACGAGACATGTTCAGCTTCTTGTCCACTTTACACAGGTATTGAAGCTTTTTCGTAGGTATTTCTGCAGCCTCATGGAACTGCTGTGGCTCTACTGTAAGTATAATTTATAAAATGTATTGAAGTAACACAACACATTACAGTTTCAAATCAAATTATAAAGCATTTTTAATCTCAGTTTTATACATTGTAATTTCTAATACAAACTAACAATACAAATATCCACTCAGTCCAAACTATGTTTGTGTTCCATTTATAATGCATGTACAATTAAAGTAAAAACAAAACTTATTTATCAACAGTACTCACCAACAGGAAAAATATGACAGAATAGAGGTATTATAAATATTTAAGCACCATTACAAATAACAAACCTTTTTCTACATCTTCCTGAGTGAAAATCAGGTTTGTTCCCATAGTGTCAGCATACTCCCCAGAGAAGGTATACCGGTCTAGTTGTAATAGAGGTTTGTCTGTGTTTATACCCTGTCAGCACAATACATCCAAATTTAATCGAATAAACACACGACTGCAGCAAGTTCAAAACAATTGCAAGGATATCTGACTTTTTTCTCTTTTAGATCTTGGGACCTTCCTCTACTTATTTTTTCTTTAAGCTCTTAGAAGATTAAAAATCAAAGGTCTGAGAACTCAAGTAATTATGACCATTTACTTATATAAGTGCTTGTCAAGAATGAGTAATGTATTACTATGATGTTTAATCGATTAGTCTTTTAGTGATGTTTTCAATTATGTTTTATCATTCATAAAAGATAACATGTTTTAATCATTTTCTCATCCCTGACAAAGCTGGTATCATATTATTTATGTTATTATTATCGTATATATATTATATAACATTATTATGTTATTATTCATGTTATTTAGTTGATATGTTTATCCACCCTAAAAATACTTACCAGGACCTTACATTCTCCATCACATTGTGATATAAAGTCACTCTCCAAAATACCAGACAACTCCACAACCACAGTGGTCTCCTGAAATATGTATATATATTATATAAAAAACGAGTTACCTCCCTTATGCCAGTGCAGATTTATTACCCAGCGGTTACCATCAGCTTTAGCAAAATGCTTTGCCTAAAATCACAACATATTTTCAACAATGTTATCATTGCACTAGTTCTTTTGTTAGATTAGTAAGAAATATATAATGTGTATTTCTAGCGGGTGAAATGATTGCTGCATAAGGGATATCTACGATCCTATGTTCATTCCGAGTTTGTGGTTTTTAATTTCGTACTCGTTGTCTTTCTTACCTCTTCTTCCCATTCATCAGATCCCTCAACACTTCCTGTGAGTTCTGACATGATATCAAATTATGCTGAAATCTTTATTTCCGCTAAATCTTCGTCAGATAGGCCTTGTGGTTCTCACATGGTTTTATTTACACCGGAAACCCGCCAATATTGAAGGGAGATAACTTATAATATCAGCGTTTAGACGAAGGCTACTTCCGCAGACTACCTCACTAATTGGAACAGATTTTCACATGATGATTGGTAAGTCCTGAAAATCAGTCTATGATAAAGTCTTTTTCGCCCCCAATAACATAGTCGTGTATATGTGTATATGTGTTATATACCCTACTGATCATTGTAATCAATAAAGCAAAGATAAATTGCTTACTAGGCCATATTTGAAGCGTGATTATGGGAAATTATCAGCGTATCAACAAATATAGAGAAAAAATATAAGGAAGTCGCATTAAAGAAATATTGCACCATATATATATTTGGTTGCATTATAAGATAAAATAATTAAACCAATGTCGATGACATGAAGTAGAAATTGCCTAAAAGCGAGCACATTTCGGTAGATAATGTCACATGTAGACCCATTTAATCTTCCAGTTTAATTCGGCTTCACTCCGATAGATTGTATCTCATTGGAAAGCAAATTTCATAAATGTTCAAATAGAATTTAATTCAAGTAGTCATATTTTATCATAAACATGCAACCTGATCAACAAATAGGATTCCTCACTACATGTTCAATGTTTCAATATCTTTGAACTAAATCGGGAACTTCGAATTCGGTACCTTTTTCATAAGTGACGATGCAAATTTCTAGTTTCCGGAATTTAAAAAAAAGATCCGCTTTCCTTATTGCCTTAAACCAGAAATCAAGTGAATAGGAAATCTTGTATTATTTGGTCGTGGTATATGTTTTTTTTTAAACAAGATTTTTGCCAACATGCATTCTAAACCAATCAACACCTCGGATGTTTTAAGTCCTGTTTGCGATAAAAGTTCCAGCTGTTTTAGGCTTATCAAATATGCGATTTGTTGGTTTTTTAACCACTGTAACCACAATATTATAAAGTGCTCGATGCGCCCCCTATCAACACTACACCGTATCTCAGAATGAATGCATTGGAGTATGTTATGGGTAGCGAGTTTTGCTTTTTCGCTTTGAGGAACCTTCGAAGTCTTAATTGAATGTCAGTTTATGTGACTTTCAAATTGTACATTACAACATAAAAAAATCAAAAGCAGATGTTTAAAAGAGCTACCATTTTCAACACGTGCAGGTTGATTACTCCAAACACAACAGTCGTCTTGAATGAAGTCAGGTTGATAGAAACCTCGCCACGTGCGAACTAGTCATGCTTTTATAAACAAAAAGTAGATATATGTGTACGTACCTTATTCCGGAATTACCGAAATGTGACATGACCATTTTAATAAAGGGGTTTAAAGTTTTCACATTAAAGAAAGAAAGAAGAAGAAAATTTACAATGGAATTGTGAAGTTTTGAAAATGTTAAAAATTCGATAGTATTTCATGAAAATGTTCATTTAAAGATGACTTTGCGTATACTATCAACTTGTTATCCAGAGGAGAATGTACAGGAAGTATTGGGAATGATGAAGTTTCACCCAATCTTAATTTGTATTCGTGATAGGCGGCGCAGATTCTACATATATATTAGTACATAACATCTGTCATTTAGCAAATTGTGCTGATTTTTTATTTTATGTTAAAATCGAAAAAAAGCTTATCTATTTCTAAAATCTGTGTTTACGGAAACGCATCAGTCATCTGTATCTGTTGATAAATGATATATTATTCTATGTTGAAAAAAATGTGTTACTCCTTACTGATTCTTTTACTGCTCGATATTTGGTAAAAGCAATAAATTAAGCGAAATGGTTTGGGGAAATGGTTATTTTAGTTTGTCTTATTATGCTGATATTTACATTACTTTAAGAGTTAAGGGGGAGACATATCTTGTGTAAATTCGGGGCTTTACCCGCTGGTGTAGGAGGGGCAAATAGGGGAAATTTAGCCAATTAGCCAAATTCCTTCTTCGTGTTAGAAAAGACAAAATTTTGTTCACATACACTCCGATGAATCCTTTCCTGAAAAGGGCTTCATTATTTTTAGTCAGTAGTGATCCAGTTTCTATTGCAATGAAAGCATTTTGACCGAATTTCGTTGCAAATATTTAAAGCTGAAGGAGACACAGTTTTATGTAAATCACTGGAGAGAGGCGGGTTCCAATATAGGAAATAGAGATAGGAGTTTAAAATCATTCTTCTGCCTAGATGAAGGTATGTTGTCAAAATTTAGTTTGAGGCTTTGAAATTCCTAGTGGAGCTTCTTATAGGTGTAGGCATTTTAAGAGCCAAATATGATCATAATTAGTTCAAGATATTGTCATTTATATCATCTATCCATACAAAACCGACGCTATTTTCTATCAAAATTGTACAGTATAGATAACTTTGAAAAAAATGCCGTTGCTTTATAATTTCGAAAAATACTAAAATGCGAATGTTCGTATTTCACGACAAAGTAAAGAACGAGAGGAGGAAAAAACGTCGTTTTGTGGCTTTAAACCGGTAGCAGCAAGTACGTTAACGGTTGTAATCTTTAGAAAAAAAATGAGGGAGCTAATTTCCTAACAACTGTACGTCAAAGGCATAAAGAAAGCACAAAGATGACATTCATATACACTTCTCATTTTTCACGACTAAAGGGTTGAATATTTTGTATGTAGCGCATAGTTAATGAATAGAAAAAATGATATCCCGTATATGTACCATGCAATACTTCGCCTTTTTAGATCTGACTATTCAGCTTTATATTTCCGTAGAATTTCTTATGAAATACTATTTAGACATAAGATATGACGTCATATCACGAAGACACATTGAAACGATATTTCATGTTAGAGTTTTACGTCATTTCGAGGTAACGAAAATTAGCTAAACGAAATAGATATTGGATTAATTGGCATGTTATGATAGAAGACCTCGGTTCTATCAATGGTACTTTCTCATCCAAACCATAAATACCTTTAAGCGTAACACAACGAACATCTCCTAGCTATGACGTCACTGAAGACATCAATATGACATTAATTCCGACAGATTGTAAAATAAGAATTACCAACATCATTCCCAAATGAATAATTAATTCTCGCAGCAGATTTCTTCAACCATAATTTTGGTATTCAAACATTCGCTTCTTTTAAAATGCCAAAGTGTAAGCTGAAGACATGTCTTGTGTGTACAACATCCCAGCCAAGCTACTGTCAACCCGAGTATTGATTTGTTTCACAAATTAACTCCAAATACGGCAACGGAACGTTTCTTTGTGTTTTAGAGACACTTCACCTATACTTGGTTGATAATGAAAACTTCAAGGAACGTGCTAAATGTCTTTATTTACATCACTAGTTTCTATTTGTAGAGCACCTTGACATTTCCTAAAGAAAAAAAAATACGAAATAATTTGTAACCATGACGTCGTCAAAATACAGAACACGAGAGAGTACCCAAAGGATTTGGTTGTTATGTGTTTACTGCTGACTATAAAATATCACAGGTGCTTCCGTTGAAGAGAAATTCAGAAATCCCATAGGGACCATATATGCCATTAAGACTCAGTATCTCTTTTTCCTGATCAATACTCACTCGTCATGAAAATAATACCAACTCTCGCAGATGTTTCTCACACCAGTTACCTATAAGTTATTAATCTTGTTTAGTTTTTGACAATGTGCGATTGTAGCCATTCTCATGCTTATTTTCAAATCACTTAAGATAAAAAATCATTTCCATGTGGGTGATATTATTATTTGTTTCTATGTGGGTAATGGTCTTGCCCGTCGCTAGATCATAGGTGATGTTGTTGTGCATTGTAAATGTGATCTTAATTGGGGTTAATGTTGTCCTGACGACTTGGTTTCCCAGAAATCAACCTTTCTTTCATAGAATCCATCTCCGTCTGTGCCAAAGCTTTGTCTTGATCGGCCCGGTATACACAGCCGATGAAGATGACGAGAAGGAATCCCGAGAACACTAAGCCACATACGACTATAGTGACAGGGTGTTCGGAGCAGTAAGTCAGAAGTTGTTCCGATTTGGAAGGCGGTGGTGTCAACTTCACAACATAACGAGCTGTTTTCCATGGTCGCTTTGTTCCGTCGTTCAGTTGCCGTGACACTATACATGTCCAGACGCCTTCAAAACTTTTATCAGCTTTCTCGAATCTGTCGTCTTGTTGCTGACTTGCCAATATGTTAGAACGAAACATTTTATCATTTATCCACCAAGTTCTGGTAGTGGTCGGGAATATGTAACCAATAGGTGCACTGTTTGACTGTAACACAAGGACACCTGTTTCCTGAACAAATGTGTTGGGTTCATTGGACTCCACGACAAGGGTGAATAAAACCACGCTTTTAAACTGTTTTGGTTCATATTCTATTCGACAAATATAAACCCCTTGATCAGTTGTTTTTAAAGCTTGAATAGATAAAATTCCCAGCTGGTAAACCATACGGTCATTCTCGATTTCCAAATCATTGTCATTGTGGACCCATTGACGAGAAGCTCGGGCATATTGTTTAAATATTGCCTTTGTCACATCGGTGTTACAATTTAATGCAACAAAACCACCAATGGATTTTGTTAAACTATGATGTTCTTTTTCAAGTGCCTTATCCACCATTAGATTTAAATTCTTTGCCAAAGGTAGTTCTGCAACTGCAGTACGAGTATAACGAAGATGTCCGGGAGGAGCCGTGTTGGCATGGGCGCCATTGTTGTAAACGTTCGATTGGTTTGATAGTAAATTGAAACTTGTTTCTTTGTAAACCTTTTGCAATCTTCCTGTAAAATAAAACAAAAACATTCTAATGATGCCGAGCTGAATTTGTTTAGCACTTTCTGTTGAAATATCTACTCACAGGAATCAGATACTCTTTATAATTGTATTATTACAAGTATTACAATTGTAAGTGACATGGCTAACCAAAGTTTTTTTCCCTTTTATCATCAGACAATTAACTTAAAGAAATAACCCGAACCTCAAACTGGTTCATATTGTTTAGATACTTTTGAATGATAAGCAACTACACTACGAAAAAGTTTCCGGAAATGAAGATTAGTGGAAATATTAATTTCCCACGGGATAAAGGAAATGACAAAATTCACATGTTTATCCGCTATTGGTGTGCAATACTCCTTTGTAACACTGGGTTATGGTATAGTAAGACAGAGACGTATATATCACATGTGATATATACATCTCTGAGTAAATAGAACAAAAAGCTAGTTCAGATGACAGTTCATCGTTATAACACGATGTGATGGTTTGATGTTATGCCAAAATTGTCATGAACGATGTTCTTATTTCTTTAACCGTTAATTTGAAAACAAGGACAAGCAAATAATTGAAACTTTTATATCCATCTGTGTATGTGCGCAATCAGTTGTGGATATTTAGTGGTACTTCTATGGTGAAAACTAAATCCCATGTGATTTTGCATGAATCGTGAAAAAAAGTCCACGATTTTGATTTAAAAATAAATCCTTTATTATTTTGTTCGGGCTTTGTCCTGTTACCACATCATAAGGCCAGAAAACCCGTCATAGAATTAGAGTTTTCTCGAGGAATACAAACAAACAAAAACGAAGTTAAACATTCATATAATTTCATAATGTTATACACGCATTTCCGTCGTAATCATGGATATTTTCCTTGTTGATTCGGATGTACCTACTTAATATTAGCGGTTGGCACTGACATCTCTATCTGTTAGAGCGGGGACTTGCGTAAACCCAGATCAAAATTCGAGGTTGTGATTTGCGTTTCACAGGAAGATGAGACGTGTCGGTATTCTTGTGTGTTGTTCATTGAAGTAGCATCAGCTACTACAACGAGACTCCGCTTCAAAATGACTGTTCACGTATCAATAAACCCAGCGAACAGAAAGGAATTACTAAGGTCACAGAAAAGCTTGTATTATCAAGCGTCTAATTAATTAAGATTGATATATTTAAAAGTAGGTGGTCGCTTACGTTGACCGCAGATAAGGCAAAAGGTAAAACTTGAATGAGACTTGGAGTTTGGAAAAAAAATTATGTTCTCAAATACACAAAAAATAAAACCACCTGTCAGCAGGATTCTCACATAAATAGAATTGATGTTATAACACAAATGATAAATATTATACCATTGAGATAGCATGAATTAGCTTTCAGTGTGATTCCTGCTATTGTGTACAGAGATAACTACCTCTGTTTCACACGTTCTCTAGAATGCCTGATTTCTGCGATATAACCTGTCTGTTGTGAGTTATGTTAACAAAGTAATATTTTTCTTCACATCAACTTTACCTTTGTAATTTCTATATCCGGGAAAGTTGCAAAACACGAACTCGGTATACAAATAAATTATAATAAATGAAATATTACTAAGTATATTCATGCTTTTCGTATCTTCTGTTTCTGGATAAAGCACTCGCTATGATGACGTATTGTATGACGCCGTTTTCAACACAAATTTTGAGACGTCATAATAGGATGACGTCATTCAAAAAGGTCATTCAATAATGTTTTCTCAACTATTGTGTCCATGGATAGGAAAATTGGAGAACGATCATGTTGATAGAATCATAAATATGTTGGAACAGAAATGATGCTGGTCAGTAATTGACTGTAGATGTTGTAGAAAGTCACATACAGAAGGTGACAAAGGGATGAAATGAGCGATCGTCATCAAATGGCGTCGTCTAATTATAAATGTAGTAATACATGTAATAATGGCGAGGATATACATTTCTACATAAACGGTGTAAGGTACAACAGGACGTATTGACAGGAAATCTGGTGACATAAAACCAAGGTATGCAGACGTAAGAATGACCAACATCATATTGTGCCGTCACAACCAGATTTACATAAGACATTAATGACCGGTGATACGTTGACAGATAGTTGTATATGTACATAATATACATTGATGCTAAACTCCTCAGATCTGTATTGTTCAGCTCGATTCGCCCCCGTCAGGATACGCCCACGTTTTCTGTTTTCTTTTGTCTGTGTCGATGTGACCAACTGAACTTGGATATATCTATGGCTGTTCCTATAACAATATTATCAACATTTACCCTGTATCAAACATGAAAACAAATTCCATGTCGCAGTAAAGATGGTTATAATGTGACTTGGATATTAGTTTTCAATCCATATAATGTTATTTTCATTCCCAAAAAATTAGAGCTGGATAATTTTCTGGTGAAGATCCTTATTTACTATGGCAGTGGCATGTGATTTCGGTATGTTTTATAAGGAGAATATAATTTATTTGATCGATAATCGACGTAAAAAGATAGGATTTCTAGCTTAAACATATAATTTCATTTCAGAAACTTTTTTTTTAATTTTTGCGAGCATTGGCGAGCAATTATTAAACTACGAGATGAGTTTCTTAAAATATAAAGCCAGGAAAACACATTTAAGCATCTTTTTATCAAATAACCACTCAAAAAATATATTTTGGCTGGTTTAAAGTAAAAATATGGAGGACAAAGTGAGATAGGGGCAGCCATTTTCTTGCACCATTTCCAACTCATGACGTAATGTTATTGTCCAAATTATAACATCATAGTCGATTATTGACTGTACTAATGAAAAATGACCCGTGGTAAATATTACAAGGAAGAATTCACTGGATAATAGGCAGATTATGTTATAAAAAGGTTTTATCTATTCATCCTAAACCCGAGAATATGTAGCGTTGACATTCTTATTTAATGGCGCCACCCTCGACAAGACAATGCTATTTTTGTCCGAATCAATACTGGACCGTTTTCTGAGTTTGTCTAATAGTTATATTTAACTGAACTGTGACGAAGTATGACTTTTGGCAATAATTTCTGGAAGACCTTTGTTTGGATTGGAATCAATATTCAGTAATAATCATACATTTTAGGATACAGGATAACCTCTCTCCGAGTTCTCAGATTCACGTGACATCTGACAGGGTCAGCAAAACATGTATATCTGTGTGTAGACGTTAATATATTCTGTAAGAAATTTGAATTCTCAGGATAATAAATTGTATTGATTAGGATTATCAAGTCCCTGTGAAATCTGTCAGGGTCAAATTCAAGTGCTTTATTCAGCTTTAAGCTTTTTAGCTCACCAGCAAAACACCAACAAAACATTTGTACGCATCACATTTTTTTCGGAGGCATTTAATAGTACAATGAAGACTTGATATAAAAAAAATCGCTCGTTAATTATATACAAGTCATTTTTACATCCATACTAGCCTGATTAATCCAAAGATTACAAAGTCAAAGCATGAATATTTTCTGTTTTACAAAGGAAGACCAGTCATTACAATTAGCGTTAACATTTTCAGACATTGTATACAATTCCTGATAGGCTGTTTGCAAAATACAATTTTTAAGTTTTAATGTCTTTAATCAATATTTGAAGATTCGAATAAACACACAAAATTTTCAAAAGAACATCTACCAAGTTCATAATAAACCATTATATCACAAGCTGAGTGTTTTACCCCTTATAATTACTTATAGAAATCTAAGTGTATCTTTTCAATGATATTACAATTATTCACGCCCAAACTAGATATGTAATAGAGAATACTCCTTACGTACGTATCAAAAAGATGTTACATGGTTTAAACATATAAACTTAAATTTTTACTTTTGGAATATGATGCAAACAATATACGGCCATTAGTACTTTATGTGACACATGTTTAAGTATATATGTGCGTGTGCGTGCGTGTGTGTCGGCGTTAATGAAGTCTATAAGTTATTAGAATTCTCAAGTCTCTGTGATATCTGAAGGTCAATATACCGCCACGAAGACTTATGTGATATATATTTAAAATATTTAGAATAACTGCAAATATCACGTCACTAACGCTTAATTCGACGTGTTGGATTTAAGTTATTTTGATGCATATATATATGATGGATGGGGTGGGGTGATAATGAATTCTGTTAGTTGGTACCTGACAGGGTCAATATACGGACATGAATACCATAATGTGATATACAGTAAATGAGTGGGACGTTAATGAATTGTTAGCAATAAGAATTCTCAAGCTCCTGTGAAATACGACAAGGTAGAGTAATCCCAGGTGTCTTTGGAAACGTAATTAGTTTAATTACCCCTGTCATGTCACAACACATCTTGTCTGCTCAATGTGCTTACAAAATGCCTCAACATACTTTGGTATTATGATTGCAGAATGTTGATTATGCAGACATTTGTGCAACAGTAGCTGGTGGTGTTTCCCGCGCTCGCCATATGTCATTTGTATGAAAGGAGAGTTCCACAGATCTTACAAGTGACCCAGTAAGTCGCACGTGCATGCATCTGGCGTTTCTCAAAATAATACACAGATATTGTGTGGGGAAAGCGATGTCTATTACTGACAGTGGATATGTTGTTGGTGGTGTTAAAGTTCATCACGTGACTCTGGTTTTCTTACGTCATAACATGGTATTTATACCCCCAGTGCTATCCCTGTTTCCATACTAACGAGTAACTGTCACAAACCGTGCAAAATATCGCTACGCATCAAAGCTACACCATCTAATTCCAGTTAGGGGCGCTTATATATAAATATGAATTACGCACGTGTATTCACGTGCGGTGTATGATGGAATGCATGTGGTTTTCTCTCCAGACGATCCCAATTATACACACGGGACCGTATCTGCGGCCAAGCCGTCTTTTATCAATATTTTACTTCTCACAAACGAGAAAACGAAAACAATTTTACCACAAAATGGTCTATGTATGTTGATGTAGACTAATGTTACGTATCTACACAGCAGTAT